CTAAGACTTTATCTTACCTGCCCCCCCATCTTGAATTCTGTATACGACTTTCTTTTTCTGGCACAGTTCTGTCCTTTCTCACTCCGTGTATTAATTTAGCAATCTAGAATCCCACTCTTGCTGCACTCTTGTAGAAAATATCTGAGCGTACTTATTAAATACGGTGCTAACATGTTTGTTATTAAGCAATCATAAAGAAAATAAAATACACTTTAAACACATCCGGCCGACAGAAGTTTTCATTTTTATTTCTATACGCACTGGATTGAGCTGCACTTTGGAAATCACTGCTTCCTGGCAAAGAACCAATCTCCCATAGCACTGCGCACTCAGTGCACTGGCATGTGAGAGCAGACACTCCAAAGGCCAGCTTGTTTCCTCGGCGCGGATCGGCGTTATCGATCCAGCTTCTTCTGCCTGGAACACTCCCTATCCACCTTTCCCAGCCTCATTCCCCCAGTCAAGTTCCCTGAAGGCCAAGTTCAAACTCCACCCCGGGCATTATTTGAATCTCCTCTGAAGGAGTTGGGATTCTCTCTGGAGGAGGCACCAAGTCTATGAGGTTACACCAGAAGCCAGAGGTGAGACAGTGGGGCAGCTGCGAACACTGAGACTGGGCTAATGGAGACAGACCCAAGTGAAATAAGGAAAGGAAAATAAGACACAAACAAAGAAATACAGCCCGAGCAAACCATCTGCCTTACAATAAAAATATTAAAATAGGCTTAGTTGCATACTGATAATTCGTATTTTTAAAAGTTGTGGTATAAGTTATGTGGGAAATATGGGACATTATAACGGCCCTAAAGCCCTCACTTTTTATTTTTCAGTCAAAGTCATAAACTTGAAGTTTAGGCATGTAATTTTAAAACTTACAAATAATGGCAGAAAAAAATAGCTAAAATATTTCCAAGTGATGGTGTCTAAGAAACAGATCTTAGGGAAGTAGAGCCTTTGGGTACTATGGAATTTTTAAAATGAGTACATTTATCATAGTGGCATACCTTTAAATGTTGGTCATTGGCATATATTAATTATACATAATAATGGGTTACATTATGATATCTTCATACACAGACATAATGTATTTTGATTTTCACACAGACATCCCATCCATCACCCTCTGTTGCCCTCCCCTACTTCCAATGCCCTTCCTTTCCCAAGCCAGGACCCCTTCCACTTTCATTTTATCTGTGAGTGTGTGAGTGAGTGTGCCAGTGTTTGTGTGAGAACTAATGCATTTCATTAGTCGTGTACAGGAACATAAGTGAGGAGGGCTTGTTTACATAAAAGGAAATTTCTAACATTAAAAGCCTTTTACTTCCTACACTGAAGGAGTAGAAACCTAAAAAGAAAACAGATAACAAAACAGAACTTTTAAAAGAAAGTCTGATGTAAGTCTAGTGACCATAAAGATTCCATGAAGTGCTAGGCATGGTGAACATGGTAAACAGTACTGTAACCCAGTACTCACAGGCGAAGGCCGCCGGATCACTGAGGCCAGCCTGGGTTATGTATCTTCAAGGAAAGAAAAGAAAATTCATCAAAAAGTAATATTTAAAGGTTTCCTTAGAATTGAAAAACATGAGCTTTTGAACTGATGGCATCAAAGGAAAGAGACAAAATATACCCACGGCAGAGTATATCAGCACATAATTTCAAGACTACAGCATGCGACAAGAAAAAGGACAGTGAGTGAAAAGCAGCTCGTAAAGCGAAGGTCACCTGGTGAGGAGGAGACAGCTCAGAGGGTGAAGAGCTTGTCTGCAAGAGTGCGGACCCGGGTCTGCAGGTGCAGAGATGCACATCTGGAAGCCAGCACTCCCACAGTGAACAGGAGGCGGAGACTGGGGAGCCCGGGAGCTCCACAGGCAGCTAGCAGTGACTCACAAGACACTGTCTCAAGTGAGGTGGAGGGCAAACATCCACACTCACGGCTGTCCTCTGACCGCCGCACGCAGTAACACACATGTGGAAGGCAAACATCCACACTCACCGTTGTCCTCTGACCGCCGCACGCAGTAACACACATGTGGAAGGCAAACACCAACACCCACAGTTGTCCTCTGACCGCCACACACATGCAGGTAACACACATGTGGAAGGCAACACCCACAGTTGTCCTCTGACCGCCACACACATGCAGGTAACACACATGCACCTGCACTCATTCACATAAACACATGTGAACACAAACAGGTAAAAAACAAGTTCATACAAAAGATTCAGAGTCAATGGTACCTATTCTCACTGGCAATATGAGCAGCCAAACAGAAATTAAAAAAAAAAAAAAAGCATGCCTTCAAAATTACAAAGGAAAAGTATCAATTAACCTATTAATATAAAAAGTAGGGTAAGACACTAGGCACAGCCCCCATGTGCACTTCCTTTCCCTGTTTCAAGAACCAATCGGAAGATATGTCAAAGAGAGCAGGATAATCAGCAAAGGATGCTGTGAAACCAGGCAAATTCAAAGGTTCTGTGCACCAGGCTGTATCAGAAGTGGCGGACCACACTGTTCATGGATCAAGTCAATGCAAAGGACTCAGCCGACTTCTGAACTGGTAACTATGTTGTGCGCTGTAGTTGTGAGGTGGTAACTATGATATGTACTGTAGTTGTGAGGTGGTAACTATGTTGTGTGCTGTAGTTGTGAGGTGGTAACTATGTTGTGT